TTGGAGCCTCATCATAAAATCATTTTTGGGTTCCTAAGGAGAATGTTATAGGTAAGACCATGCTACCAAAAAAATAACACCAAATCAAAGATCATAGTGTTTTCTGGAAGATTTTTAGAAGTCATCTTTTCAAAATAGTCTCAAATGTTTTACAAAATGACTTCACTGTTTTAGTAAAACATATATATATATGTGTGTGTATATATATATATTTTTAAATTCAAACAATACAGAAAAGCACAAAGAAACAAGTAAATAATTTCCCAAAGTAAAGATTACTAACATTTGGTGAATAGAATCCACAAATACAAATAGAAAGCTAGACAATGAGGAACGGTTTCACAGAGAGAGATCATATGGTACATGCTACTTTTTAAAACAAAATTTTTATTTTTGAATAATTTTAGGTTTATGGAAAGGTTGCAAAGATAACACAGAGTGTTCTATACCCTTCAACTGACTTCCTCTATTGCTAACGTCTTACATTACTATGGTACATTCATTACAACTAAGAAACCAATACTGGTACATTACTATTAACTAAATTCCAGACTCTTTTTAAATTTCACCAGTTTTTCTACTAATGTCCTCTTTCTGTCCCAAGATCCACATTGCATTTAGTTGTCAGGTATTCTATTAGGGCTCTCCAAAGAGACAGAACCAATAGGATAAATGGGTATATGCATAGAGAGAGAGACACAGGAGTTAATTCTAAACCTAAGAGTCATGTGACTATTAGGCATACCATTTTAGAAGAAATTGGAAATAGAGTTACAACCAGAGCAGCACAAGTAGTTAAGAAAGCTCAGAACACCAAAGTACCAGTTCAGCCCAGGGAAACAACAAATGTCAACAAACAACTGAAACCTACTGCTTCTGTGAAACAGTACAGATAGAAATGTTGGTTCCAAACGGTCCTTCTCCCGTACCTGAGGATGCCTCCATGAAAGAAGAGAACATCTGCCAAGCTTTTTCTGATGCCTTGGTCTGCAAAATTGAGGATATTGATAATGAAGATTGGAATAACCCTCAGCTCTGCAGTGACTACGTTAAGGATATCTATCAGTACCTCAGGCAGCTGGAGATTTTGCAGTTCATAAATCCACATTTCTTAGATGGATGAGATATAAATGGACATAAGCGTACCATCCTGGTAGACTGGCTGGTGCAAATCCCCTCCAAGTTTAGGCTTCTTCAGGAGACTCTGTATGTGTGTGTTGCCACGATGGATTGATTTTTACTGGTTCAGCCAGTTTCCCATAGGAAGCTTCAACTAGTTTGGATTACTGCTCTGTTCTTGGCTTCCAAGTATGAGGAGATGTTTTCTCCAAATATTGAAGGCTTTGTTTACATCACAGACAATGCTTATACTATTTCCCAAATCCAAGAAATGGAAACTAATTTTGAAAGAACCGAAATTTCAGTTGGGTGGACCCTTGCCACTTCTTAAGGCAAGCATCACAAGCCGGAAAGGCTGATGTTGAACAGAACACTTTAGCCAAATATTTGATGGAGCT